AAAGATAAAGAAAATACTTCTCAACCATGAAATTTCATTGGGACACAGCAAACCAGGTACATTATTCATTGGTAAAGCCTGACAGTGTTTTCAACAGTAAAATCAATAGGTACAGAATTCTGGAATAAACATCAAATTAATTCTCAAGTGAGTAAGTTGTTAAATAGCTGGGATACTTGGACATTGTTTCTAAATATTTTCATTATATATAAACAAACAAAAAGATTAAAGAATAACCAACATTAAAAACAGCAGTTCTACCACGAAAGTACATATTAGTGTAACTTTGCTGAAATAGTGACGAGCTCCAGAATACAACAATAACATTTATTGTAATACTTAAAAGGTGCATAGTCCTATACAACACCATACTGGGGCTGGTTTTGAAATATCATTCTTCACAGATTGTATTTTGTTCTTTTACAAATATACCTGATACAATTTAGGATTTGTACATTTATCTGAAGAATGAAGATGAATGAACACAGCTTGTTGATGGCTTTTTTGAATTCAGAATGTGACTTAAACAATGTTACTTTGTCAGAGATGCAAAACTAAACTTAACAGTGGATGAATAGACAAAACAGGAAATGTGATATAAACTAGCTCCAACAGATAAAGACAAAAAATTTTTGTGATATTTAACTCACTGATGAATTCACTGACATTATTTTCCAAACTTATAATTTATATTTTAAGCACTATAACAATCATAATGTGAATGGTACTTCCTTCCAGAATAACTTATAAAAAATATTCAATATTATCAGTAAATAGTTAACACCTCCTGTGAACAAAGACTTTTTCTTTCTGTAACCTTTTCCCCTTTTATTCTCTAATGAAGATGCTAGTTCGTTGGACACAGTTCTATGGTGCTGGTTGCTTTCAGGAAGAAAAATAACAATTATTACTAGGTGAGCTTGGATAGTGACTGTCAAGAATATTCAGTTAGAAGGTATTACAGCTGGGCCCAAATGCTGTCTTCATCCTGGTTCTTGTATGCATTCACTTTAAGTAGAAGTTGCTGGATAGAAAATAGAAGCAACAACTTCTCAGCAGCTTTTCTCATCGATAACTGAACTACTGAAGTTGCTAGATGCTAGAATATGGTTAATTCAGTAATGGTCAGGGATCATTCTGGATCTGAATAGCTAAACTATTCATTTGATAACACTCTCCTGAGCTACAGAGATATTTTGAATGTGATGTTCATAAGATAGGTCAAATATCTGCGTCTAGGCTATCATACATGCATGCCATGTATGATACAATCGACCAAATTTATTGATTCCTAATTTCCCTCAATCCAGCTTTAACCTTGTCTAATTCCTCACATGTAAGTATACTGACTTATTAATATTCAAATGCATAAATACAAAGCTCTTCTGCTAACATACTACTTTCTCCACCAACCACCACGTAGTAACAATTTAATCTCTAGTTTATTTGTTTATAACCTGCTTCATACTGACAAATTAACACAACTAACAGACGACCAAATTTAAAATTTTCAATCCTCTTCACAAATACTAGTTTAGAAGTAATAGTCATTGCAGCTCGGTAGCATCATAAGCATTCATTACATGAACTGTTGGTCATTAAAAACAAGCTAAATTAAAATTTAAATAGAAACAGAAACTGGTTGAAATACTCAGCAGGTCTGGCAGCATCTATGGAGAGAAACAGGGTTAACATTTCAGGTTGTGACTTTTCTTTAGATAAGAGTAAATCATCAACCTGAAATGCTAACTCTGTTTCTGTCCACTTGTGCTAGCTGTCCCAGCTCTCTCTAGTGCACTGTCAAATAGCTGTTCTTTAAACTTAGGAAATGGCCAGTTCCTGGTGGAGAGCCCTGTGAAATACAAGAGAAGATAGAGGATGGAATGTTCATGTGTTCCCACTGCCATGATACTTTAGTAAAACCTTCTCATCTAGAAGTCAATCGAGTCACCTACGTAGTCAATACAGGACTCTTCCATTGCTATGGGGCTCCCTGCCATATCAACAGACTGTCTGTGGAGGAGCTACTGGGCACTAGTAGCTGCCCCAGCAGCAAAAGTGCTGCCTGACCTTGGCAACTCTCACTGCTTCTTACGTGGGCTTGACTCCCTTGCCCACATGTCCCGAGACATTGCTTACCTGGTTGAGACAAAGGTACACTTCCATAGCTTCCTTCTCTTCCAGACATAATCCCAACAGTGGCTATTTTTCATAGTGGTGCGACTGAGTTACAATGAGAGCTTCTGAAGGCAGGCAATCATGCTTTAAAGGGAGAGTTGGCCCTGTTGACAACCAATCTGACTGTGATTAGATACAGCAACGGTCCCATAAGTCGCTGACTCAGGATTACCCCTGGCTTTCCAGCCCATCATCAGCATCCCTATCTCTACAAGAAAATTCAACTCCTAGAATGTAAAAGTTGACAGGCAATTTGACCACTTACAGCCTTGCAGTCCAGGTCAATCCTGTACTTACTGAACTTCATAATGTGTTGGTATTACTCTGGAAATCAGATGGAGAGTACTCAGACTAATTTTCATTCCTGAAATCAGAGGCACTGAGGTAGTGAAAAACTCCAAGTGGGATTTAATTTATGTGATGACACTTTCCCACTGGTTGGACAATAGGTAGGAACCCTGTGTTGCTTCCCTGTGGGAAGACCAAACACTATTTATGAGCAAATATATACTTACCTGGCCAGTGTTGGTCTGCTCCTGTGACAGAGGTACAAGGCAGGTGGAAATTCTGCTCCCAAGAGCTGCCAGCCAACTTTGAAAATGCTTTATGTTTTTTTTCATTCATGGGATGAAGATTTAATCTAGCCAGATCAGCACTTAATGCCTATCCTTAACTGAAGGTTGTAGTGCATTGTCTTATTAAACTATTGCAGGCCTTGGGGTTCAGGCACACCCATAACGCTGTTAGGAAGGGAGTTCTAGGATTTTGAGACAGCAAAAGTGAAGGAATAGATGCGTGTGGGGGGCTTGGAGGGGAATTTGTAGGTGATGGTGTTCCCATGCATCTGCTCTCCTTGTCCTTCTAAGTGGTAGAGGGGTTGGGTTTGGAAGGTGCTGTTGAAGGAGCCTTGAGTTACTGCAATGCATCCGGAGATGTTACACACTGTTATCACTGTATATCAGTGGTGAAGGAAATGAATGTTAAAGGTAGTGGATGAGGTGCCAAGCAAACAGGCTGCTTTGTCTAAATGGCGTCATGCTTCTTGAGTGTTGCTGGAGCTGCACTTACCCTGGCAAGTGGAGAGTATTCCATCACACTCCTGATTTGTGTCTTGTAGATGGTCAACAGGCATTGGGAGACAGAAGTTGAGTTATTTGCTGCAGAATTGCGAGCTCTGACCTGCTTTTGTTGCCATGGTATTTATATGGCTAATCCAGTTCAGTTTCTGGTCAAGGGTAATGCCCAGGATAGTGACATTGGAGGATTCAGCAAGGGTAATATCATTGAACGTCAAGGGCTGACGGTTAGATTATCTATCATTGGAGATAGTCATTGTTAATCATTTGTGTATCGCAAATGTTATTTGCCATCCATCAGCTGAAGCCTGAATGTTGTCTGTCTAGGTCTTGCTTCATGTTGACACAGACTGCTTCAATATCTGATGGATCATGAACAGTGCTGAACATTGTGCAAACATCAGCAAACATCCCTCACTTCTGACCTCATGATGGAGAAAAGGTCATTTACGACACAGTTGAAGATAGTTAGACCTAAAACATTAAGCTGAGGGACTCCTGCTATAAACTCATTGAACTGAAATGACTGACCTTCCACAACCAGCACCACATTACTTTGTGAAAAGTATGGCTCCAAACAGCACTGAGATTTCCCATCAATTTCCATTGACTCTAGTTCTGCTAGGGCTCCTGGGTACCACACTAGGTCAAAAGCTCCTTTAATATCAAGGGTAGTCATTTTCTTCTCACCTCTAGAGTTCATTTGTTTTATCAATGTTTGGACCAAGAACCTGTAATGAGGTCAGGAGCTATCTGGCTCTGACAGAACCCAAATTACTCAGTGAGTAGGCTTTCCTTTGCAAGTGCCATTGATAGTCAATGACCCCTCCTGTCATTTTGCTGATGATGGAGAGTAGACTGATAGGCCAGTAATTAAATAGATTGAATTTGTCTTGTTTCATCTGCACAGGATATAACTGGGCAATTTCCCACATTGTTGTACAGGTACAGCTTGGCTAGGGTCACCAAGTTCTGGTGCACACATCTTCAGTACTGGTTGAAGATCACAGACCAATTTGAGGTAACAACTCTACATTGGCAGTAGGACCACAGGGAGCAGTGGGTGTGGCCAGTAATACTCCAAGGCCTTCATCAGAGACCATCTCTTGATCCCTGGAGACAGGTGAGTAGTGTAGATTCATGAGGAAGGATTGTTGATGAGGTGGAGGGGAAAGTGGTTGGAAGCAGGACAGGGGGCTAGTTCTCACATTAATTGCCTGATTGACACTTAATGTCACTCGGGCTCTGAGAAGTGGTTGCAGTAGGACAGTCGCTGATTACCAGTGGTAGTATGGGACCACTACCACAGTTATTATATTCCACTCTACAGATTGCTGTCTGACAGCAAAGATAAAAATTTACCTCACAATGTTTATAGTTCTCTTTCAATTTTTCTAAAACTTTATCTAATGTTTCTCTCATCTAGTGGAAAATTGTGATAATTTCCCTACTGTGAAATAGCTCTTACTTGTTTGTTTTTGCATGACATCAGTTAGAGAAACAGTGTGTCTCATCTTTTTCAGTAAAATTCTTTACCATTTTGTCTCATACAGTGGGAAATATTTTATGATGTGGTGTGTCAATTAGCTGTTGGAACTAATGGGCATTGTATTGTTAACAGTAATGGAAGGTGGAAGACAATTTTGGATCTCAACTGTTAGAAATGATAAATATTTAAAATGTTTGCTTGATATTTATTATTAGCCATTGATATGGTAGAGAATGGAAAACCGCCTTCACATCATTTCAATATGGAGCAAACTTCTGCCGATCAGATTTCTTAACCCCACTTGTCGAGGGAATTTTGGGAGTATAAGCAGATAAACTCCCAGGGGCTCCCCTAGCAGCAGTGGCATTAAGTGCCAGGAGCGGGACAGTTTTCATGCCAAGCAGACTGGAAACAGGAACAGCATAGTGGGGTGTTGGTAAAGGAGAAGGGGTATTCACATTAACCATGGAGGCAGCTGCTGCTGCTGCCGCCAAAACAGCCACAGAGGTGGGGGTTGAGGTAGGGGTGGCAGACTGAGAGAGGTTCACGTTCAGGTCAACAGGGTTCATGACGGAAGCAGTCTGGGTGCTGACTTTAGCCATCTCTAAGCTGCAAACGAAGAGAGGAACAGGAACAAACAGGTGGGTAGGTCAAGCCAGGATGAGGAAAGGAGGAAGGATAGGAGCACACACAGAGGGTGGGATTAGATTGGTCAACAAATGGAAAGGGCAATGGGGAGGTAAGAAAGGAGAGATTAGGATCAAGGGGGGAACATGTTATGTGTTAAAGAAGAGAAATAACAAAAGGGTATTTCATGATTTTGATGACGAAACATTACTGAGACTTCAAAAGTCTTTTCAAATTAAAAATTTGATATTATGACTGAAATTAATTTGAAGAAATGTACATAACGACTAATGATGGAAAAGCAAACTTAAAGACCAAGAATTTCAAATTGCATTACTATAAGTACTCTTGTTTAAGACGTCTTACTTAATTTTGAAAAATAGCAAGATGGTAAATTCAAGGAGTCAGAAAATTTGAAGACTGGTTTGTTGAATTGTAATCAAAATTAAACCACATTATTTATTAAATGCTGCAGAGTTTCCATTTCCGGCTTCAGTACAATACAAATACAGCTGTTTTGCAATATTGTTGAAAAATAGATTTTTAAATCTGATACTAATTGAAATATAAGAATTAAAATTTATCTAGAAGTGTGCAGCCATGCTTTATAAACCAAACTTATACAAGGGCACTCATCCTATATGCAAAGATATACTAACAGATTACTGGAATATAAAGGGTAAATTAAAACAACATTTTCTCACATTTCATACTGATATAGCATATATAAATTTATAATACATTGTGCACTATTAGATATAAGCAAAAGGGCAAAATATCAGTTGACTTAATTTTAGATATGAAAAGTTATAAAATTATTATAGTATATGATAATAACATGCTCACTGATAGTCAGACACATAGAATTGTATTGTTATAGCAATAGTTAACAAGCAACAAAAACTTCCTTTTAACTTTACAGTACATATTAGTGCTGGAACTATGACTTAATAATATCATTTAGAATAGGCATCGTACCAAATTAATATTTTTATACACATTTTATACTGGCTATTGAATATTACATTTTTACGTTTTCTCAATGCAATTTAGGAATAGTAACAATATACAGTCAGACCCCGTCATTACAAACCCACGGGGAATGGTCAAGTAGTTCTCCTCATTGGGCCTTCATTCTATCGAGGGTTGAGCTGACTTTATTCCTTTACCACAGACACAGCTGCTGCACTGGGTTTTCCAACTGTCGCACATGGGCTTGAACCATGCCTGATGATGTCATTGTGCACTTCCTGTGAGTGTCAAAACAATGACTGCTGACCAGCTCATAATAATGGGGTAAAAACCATTGCAAATGTGGGAGTTGAGCTGTAAATCATTGAGAAACAGTTGCTGGTTTGCTTGATTTTAACAGGGGTTGAACACTATATGCTGTAACAAAAAGGAAATTGTTCTAATAGAAGGTTTGTAATAACCAAGTTCACTATAAAGAGGTTTGACTGTATGATTTCTATTCTAAACTTAAAGAAATAGTATTAATCTTAAAATATCAATCAATATTTAACTAGTAATTACTTATTTTTAAGCCAATACAAAGATTGGGACCGCATCCTGCTAAATAACTTAATACTTACAAAAGAAAGACGAATTGTAATAATTTATGACTTCCCCCTACGTTCCTGCTTCAAGAATCTGTACGCTTATAGGTTCTTTCAAGAATCTAATAGTGGCTACGTTCTTTTCCAAAATATTTTGGAAAAGGAAATATACAGATTAGTTGTATGAGGAGACAATAAGGACTGCAGATGCTGGAAGCCAGGGTCTATAGGTGTGAGGCTGGAAAAGTACAGCAGGTCAGACAGCATCTAAGGAGCAGGAAAGTCAATGTTTTAGGCCAAAACCCCTCATCAGGACTAATTGTACAAATTCAATTTCTAGGAGGATAGAACTGAACAGCAGAGATGTTGGGATAAATGTTTGTCTTCCAATAGAGGCAAGAATAGGCTTGGGAAATCTGAGACCATTGAGATTTTGCTGGAAAAATGTGCATCCTCTTCCTTTTTGACCTCCTACTATTCTCAAGTGGCCCTTTGATATGTCATAAAGGCCCTGGATTGTGGCTCCATATATCCGTTGAAGTTGACATTGCATTAATGTGTAACACATTCATTTCTCTCAAAACGCACTATTCGTATGTTTTGTGGGCATTAACAAAATTGAGTCATGACCCATTCCTCTGAGTCAGGAAGAGTTTGAGATTGATGTAGACCGACATTGTTGCAGGGTTTTCTTCATACTTTTAAAACTCTTAACACTTGTCTGGCAACCAAAGAATTCTCTGCTAGGGAGGGTGGCCCACATGGTGGGTGTCAGAAGTATACACTCCCAGCAGCGTTAAAGGTCACTGTGGCAACGATTTTTTTTTTTTTTGTGTTCGCTGGTTATTCATTTAAAGGTCCTACAGGCAACCTGGTCTATCACAGGCAAAAGCGCACACATAGCTTTTTCATCAAGATGCACAGTTTATCTTTTTTGAGATAGATGCTGCAAAGACACAGGAAGTGACTGGTTTTGTTTCAGTTACTAGTTTCCTCAGGTACAAGGTATGGTGGTCTGTCCATGTGGAAATAAGGACTTCCACCCAAACTGCAAAGCAATACATTAAAGTAATGTAAAGGGCAATCAAGGAAGCCTCCTCTTGGATGGTGAACAGAAAGGGGAAGAATTTCAACAGAAAGAAAAGAATAAAGAGCAAAGTCCATAGCAGAGACCTTCAAGACAGGATAGACAGCAACGTCATTGAGGGGATGAGTAGCCAATGCAGGATATCATCATTGCCAGAGACCTCCAGTACAATGGCACTTCACACTTTCCTGAACATGAAGGCTGAAGTCAGAGTTAGGTGTTGGAGACCTTAAGGGAAGGGCATTAGAAATTCTTTCTTGCGATCAAATACATGGATTCTTCTTAAAATGGCGTGTTGAGAGTGGTGTGGATATTGCAGCTACTCCTGAATTGCAGGCTTTCTTGCCTAATTCTTGTGGTTTTTACATTTCAGAATCATAAGATTTTTACTTTGATTCATCTTGTAATCCAAATAATTACAAAAAAAATCACAGCGTAGGGATATTTTTAAAACGGCATTGTGTGGGAGGGCCTCCACGTGTTCAAGTGTTGAGAGGCTTTTTTCTCTTTTTTTCTGTTTTGTACTTTTACATTTCTAAAAGAATATGTGTCAAAAAAAAACAAAAAACTAAAATCGCAAAGGAGGAGATCTTTTAACAATCGCGAAGGAGAGGTTTTCTTTTCAACGGAGTTTTTTTATCCGAAGATTGAAAGCTGAACGTTGGATTATTTGAGGAGGAGTTGTTTTTCCGTTTGTTCAGCTAAGTGTTTGATTTCTTTTCAAAATTTGTACGTTTTAATATTTTTCTAATTTTTGAATGCTTAATATGAAAGTTTTTTTTATATATAAGAGGTGTTATTTTTAAGCTAAATGTCAATGTGGGCTTACAAGTAACACTGAGCATGATGACTAGTAGATTAAAAGAAGTGATTACGCAGCAGGATCAGTTGGGTGGTTGACTGTCAGGAAAAGTAAGAAGGTACTTCAGAAGTCTCCTACAGTTATTCCCCTCTCAAATAGATATTCCATTTTGAGTGCTGTTCAAAGAGACAGTCTCTCAGAAGAAAATAGAAGCCGTAGGCAGATCTTGGGCACTAAGATGAATCTTATGTTAAATGGGTTTGTCAAAATTTAAAAGAATAATTGTTATAGGGGATTCTCCTGTCAGGGGCATATACAGGAGATTCTGCAGCAGTGAGCATTAAGGTAGGATAGTATAAATAAAGACCGAAAGAACTTCGGACACTGGAAATTCTCAGCAGGTCTAGCAACAATGTAGAGAGAAATCACAGTTAAAGTTTCAGATTCAGTGATCCTTCCTTAGAACTCTGAGGAAGTTCTGAAGATACTATGTTGCTTTCCTGGTGCCAGCGTTAAGGACATCTCAAAACAGTTGAAGTACATTGTCAGAGGAGAGAGTGAGAAGCCTAGAGTTGTTGAACACCATTGATAGGAATGACATAGTTAGAGAAACAGTTAAGGCTTTGCAGAGTGAATATAAGAGGTTAGAAAGGTTAAAAAACAGAATATCACAAGTAACAATCTTTGGTTTACTTCTGGTGCCAAATTCTAATGAGGGAAGTAATAAAAGAATAGGGGAGATAAATGAATGGCTGAAGAAGTGGTGCAGTGTGCAGCATTCAGTTTCTTGGATCATTGGGGTCACTTCTGAGACAAAAAAGACCTGCTCGAAAAGGCTAGGTTTCATCTGAACTGGAAAGGGACCAATATCCTGGTGAGGAGTTTTCTTTGTTTTTATTTCAGGATCCTGCAAAGGGAGAGAGGTGGGGGGATGGTGGACTTCCTAAGTAACAGTGAAAACAGAAAGAAAGATGAGGATGGTTGTCAATCAGAAAAGAGCAAGTTAATTAGAAAAGACAGACAAGAACAAGTCAAATAATGAAGTAACTCTGAAGAATTAAATTGCATTTATTTCAATGCAAGAGGTCTTGCATGTAAGACTGATTAACTTAGGGCATGTATGGGAACATGGGATCTGTACTTCATAGCTATTACAGAATCTTGGCTGTGGGAAGAACAGGACTGGCAGCTCAATGTTTTGAGTATAATATGTTGAAGGAAGGATAGAAAGATGAACAAGAGAGGAGGGGGAGTTACATTTTTGATTAAGGAAAACATTACTACAATAATTAGATATTTCTGAGGGATCATCTACTAAAAATATATGGGTTGAAATTAGAAATAAGGGACAATCACCTTGACGAGATTGCACTATAGGCCCCCCATTAGTCAGAGGGAAATTGAAAAGAAAATATATGGAGAGATCTCAAATATATGTAAGAATAATAAGGTTGTAATAGTAGGGAATTTTAATTTTCCAAACATTGACTGGGACAGCCATAGTGTCAAAGGTTTAGATGGTGAAGATTTTGTTAAA